GGCGCCGCTCTGTTTGTCGGAGGCTGGGGAGACCCCAGAGTCCTGGGAAAACTGAATGTCCGTGATGTCTGCGGCGAGTCCCTGGAGCATTGTGGCCCAGCAGCCGCACCGAGTACCTGGAGCACTGTGGCCCAGCAGCCGCACCCCTCCTTGGGATGTGGAGCGGCCCTTGGTCCCGCCTCCACTGGGAAGGCCCTAGACCCCAGGCTGACTCATTGCCAGTGCTGAGGCCCCAGCCCCGCCCTGGGCTGTGGGTGCTGGCAGTGTGCGTGGACCCCAACCACGTGGGTGGCTGAGGCCATGCGCGTTGTCCGCGACCCAGGCCAACCCCGCGGGAGGGCAGCCTGGGGTGGGGGAGAGAGGGAGGCTGAGGCAGCCACGCACCAGCGTCCGCCGCCTCCAGAAGGCACAGACGGTGGTCCGCAGCCCCCACAGCAGGTTGGTCTCGATGAGGAAGAGCAGGGCGAGGTAGATGAACCCTGAGGCAGCCATGGAGGTCACGAACCTGCCCACCCCTGGGGCATTCCACGCATAGAAGTTCTCCTGGTACTTGATGTCTAAGGCAGAGGGAGATATGAGACCGGAGACCCAGAGATCCAGGGAGACCGGGTGGAGGAAGGAAGAGACAGTGAGGCGGCCATGAGCCAAGGATGCCTGGACCCACTGGGGGCTGGAAGAGGCAGGAAGGAGCCCCCTCGAGCATTCCCGGGACCTCTAGAAGCCGGAGAGAACCTTCTGTGGCTTTCATTCCGGCCATAGCATACCAGGAGCCGGGGAGGACAGCAGCAGAGGGGACCCGGCGGTGGGCGGGCAGGGGTACAGGGACGCGCCTCTCAGCGGCCGTGCAGCATGACCAGCAGCGGGGCACTCACTGTACTTGTGGCAGTAGTGGGCGGCCACCTCGGAGGAGGTGCAGTACCGCCGCGTCTCGTAGTTCTCATGGAAGCTGCTGACCGCCATCCCCAGACAGTGGTTGGGTAGCACCAGGAACACGTGGTCCAGGGTTCTGGAAAGTTCTTCCAGCTTTACCGCTGCAACGAGGAGGTGTAGACCAGTTAGTGTGGGAGGGCACGCCAGACCTCCCCACAAGGGTGACTGGTCAGGAAGGGCTAGTCCCCACAGAACCACACGGGAGGGGACGCCACCGACGCAGGGCAGGCCTGGCAAGGCCACCAGGCAGAGGGGCTGGGTGGGGCGGCCCAGGCTGTGGGCAGCTGCAGGCAGGTCCCCCGCTCCCACCTGGGATGCGCATGATCATGACCACCAGGAAGGTGGCGATGCCAGACAGGATGTTGAATATGGTCAGCCTGGTGTAGGCAGTGGCCGCCCCCGAGAACAGGAAGCTCATCAGGTACATGAGGGGGATGATGGCCCAGCCGTACAGCAGCAGCAGCAGCAGGGTGTCGGCCACGTGGCCGTCCTGCGTGAAGGCGCGCACCTCAAAGGCCGTGAACACCACCTGCGGGCACAGACCGGCTGTGAGCTGCCTGGCCAGCACTGGCGGGCTATGTCCGGCCCGGGTTCTGGCCCGGGTTCTGGCCCCTCTCTGACGGCCGGTCTCCCCTTCTTTCTGATGCAGCTGGTGCCAGGCTAGGCAGGGAGGCGACCGGCTGAACTGCCAGCCTAGGCTCTGTGCAGGTGTCCAGACCTAGTGCCCTGGCGTGAGGCCACGCACCCTGGCACTCACCAGCAGCAGCAGGCTGGGGACGAGGAAGGAGGCGAGGTCCCACAGCAGGGCAGACAGCCAGAATGTGGCCGCGTGCACCCCGCTCACAAACTGCATGTGCTTGGCCCGCACGGCCCGCTCACTGACAGCCAGGACGGCAAACGTGCTGGCCAAGAACGCCATGGCGAGGAGCAGGTTGAGGGTGATGTCGAAGCCCTCCCGGCCCCTGTGGGAACAAGGCAGTTCAGAGCCGTGCGGCCTGTCCAGGCAGCAGGGGCCTGGTCCCGTCGGCCTGTCCGGGCATGTCACTGAGTGAGTCCCCGAGCCCCATCCGCTCAGGACAGCTGGCCTAGCATCCTGCTCTTCCCCTCTGGTGGGAACCCTGTGCCTCGCCAGCCCTGCCCACGTCTGAGCCCACTCTCCATTCCGCATTGTTGGCAGAGACAGCTGCCAGCCCACATCAGTGCTGTGGTAACAGAACGTCACTTGGCAGAAAGGAGAGGATGAAGTCAGTGACGGCACCAGGTGGGTGAGCCATGGCCACATGGAGCCCAGAGACTCAGAGCAAGCGTCCTGTGACCCAGAAGCCCACCCGGAGGATGGAGGATGGGCAGATGGGCAGTTACTGGGGAGTGAAGGTGAGGGCGGCTGGCACGGGACAGGCTGAGGCACGTGTTCACGTGTGGGCCTGGCGGGGCCCCTCTGCGTGCCGCCGGAGCCACGTGGGGAGCCTAGGCTTGGATGGGGCCACCTTGGGCAGGCCCACGCCAGGTATATCTGCACACACCTACACTCTGGGCTGGCTGGGGCGGCAGGAGGGTCACGGTGCGGTGAGACCCTGCTGCGGTGCCTGTCTGTCTCTGGGACAGAAGAGGAACAGGTCAGCACCCTCGCTGTGCTGCCCCACAGCTCTGTTGACACTCCAGCAGGTCGAGCAGGTTGGCTGGGTACTATGTTGGAGGGGTTGCCTGGTGAGTTTTGCTTTTTGTTTGTGTATTTAGAGAAATGTTTTGCTATAGGGCACTTACGCTCTCCAGAGGGTGGGGGGGAGAAATCATGCCCAGTGGGGATGACCGTGCCACAATCCCTTCTTTGTTCTTCTCTTGGGGTTTTGGAGACGCACACACACGTGCCCAGCATGAGTTTTAAGCCACCGGGCCCAAGATTTGAACCGCAGTTGACTAACGTAGGAGTCCAGCAACAGCCATTATCCCATCTGCTGGTCCCTGCCTGGGGAGTTTGATCACCTAGAGCTCTTAAAACAGAACCCAGACTCCTGCCTGGCCCACTGGCACCCTAACGAGCTCCAGCTCCGAGGCAGGGTCTACCCCGCTGCTTCTCACACCCCAGCTCAGCCTCCTGCAGTCTGAGACCCTGCAGGTGAGAGGGCCCCGCGCTCGCCTCCTTCCTGAGCTCCTGGTGCCTCACCGGGGAACCCGCTTGCACACCTGGGCATCAACTCTGGGCAGGACAGCAGACGACTGCCCATTCTGCTTTCAGGGAGGGTGGGGACCAGGCTGCCCTGAACGAACTAGCTGTCCTAACGTGCAGTGACCGTCCCCAAAACGGCTCACTTCTGGTTTCCTCTAGGCGGTCCCAGAGCGCTTCGGGCTCTGCAACTGGGATAAGGGACAGCCAGCCCGACCTGCCCACCGGCCTGCCCAGGCTTCCATATGCTGCTACCTGAGGGACAGAGACGCCTGGTCCCACCAAGGCCTACTGTCCTCTCCCTCCTTCCCTTCAGCTCACACGTGCAGGGGGTGCCCCTGGGAGACCAGTCCACTGCGAGGACAATGGCCGGGAGCTGGTACAGATCTGGGAGAGGGACGTGGGCCGCAGCCACTGCACCGAGCCCTGTGAGAGCCGCAGTGCACATGGGGGGTGGGACAGACACTCCTGGCCGAGAGCCCACGGCTTCTGGAGGGCGGGCATCATACGTTACCCGTCTCCTGCCTCAGCGGGGCCCCAGGTGCTCGGTCACGTACTCGTTGAACTGGTCCTTGGCAGCCTGCAGGGCGCTTCGTGGCTGGGGGTGGTTGGAGACCACGATGGAGGCCCGAGGGCCACACAGCAGCCTGAACAGGAGGTTGTCCACGACGGCCAGCGCGGTGGCGGGGGAGTGGTACGCCTGGTTGTTGAACAGGGCGGTGACGACCGTGCGCTCGCCGACGTCCCTGAAGGACGCCGCCACAAGGCAGCGCTCGTTGAAGCCGCCCCCCTCCACGGAGGCCCTGAAAATCAGGAACTCCTCCAGGTCGCCTGGGGAGCAGGGGCAGTGTCAGGGACAGGGAGGTGCATGGGGGCCTGGCCGTGGGCCCGCGAGCTCCATCCTGTCCACGCGGTCTGCCTCTTCCTGAGGGCCACTTCACTCCCAAGGCCTTGCCCTCATTTTCTGGCCGAGTCCCGGGTCTCCTGAGCAGTGAGTGGGAAGTGAGAGCCCTCTCAGCCTGGCCCATCCAGCCAGAGCAAGGGTCCGCCCCAGGCTGGGGCAGCACTCAACGTGCCCACTGGAGGCCCAGAGCTGTGGGCTGAAGATGCTGGAAGGAAACGCAGGGTCATAGGAAGGCCAGCCCAGCAGACAAAGGTGACAGAAGCTCCCTGGGCTCTTGCATTCTGGGTACAAGCGGTCCTGAAAGACACACCTCTAGGAAGCACACGCCTGACCAGAGCGCGGCCACAGTCTTCTGCCTGCAGACCTGTGGTAATGTCTGGGGTCCTGACAGGGTTGGGCCAGGCCAGGGACACTATGAACACCCCGGTGCGTGGGCAGTAGAGAGCCGGCCTCCCCAAGGCCAGCCGAGCCACACAGCCCGCGCCCACCCCACCCTAGGCACCCTTACCCAGCACCTCGCGGGGCTCCTGCCCCTCGGCCTGCAGCATGTCCTTCAGGAGCTCGGACAGCTGCCGGCCCCGCCGGGAGGTCTCGGGAGCCGAGAAAGGCACGACAGTCCTGCCGTACTCGCCCAGGGTCAGCTTCAGGACGGGGTCATCCAAGATCTCGGAGGAGTAGTTGATGGCCAGGAGGGCCAAGGTGACGCAGGTCAGAGGGACCAGGACCTGAGCCGCCACCATCTTCCACTCCCGCCAGCTGTATAAGGCCTTCTTCAGGAGCATGGCCCAGAACTGCTGGCAGTGGAGGGCGAGCTGCAGCAGAGAGGGAGGGGATGCACCACTCAGGGCCGGCCGACGGTGCTGGGGACACACTGCGGGCTCCCAGGGCTTCTTGCAGAGGCCGGGGAGATGTGCAGTGACTCCGCGAGGGTGCGTGTGTACACGTCCTGCAGGTCCTGCAGGGGTCTCTCCACAGCCGCCGAGTGGGGCAGACCCTCCGTCCTTGCAGGACAGTAGGGGAGCAGCCTAGGTCCCCGCCTTCCCCTGCCCCTCACTGGACACGCTGCTGTGCTGGAGGGTCCTGGCTCACCGCGAGGCCCTTACCCTAAGACTCTCCACCTGTCCCCCGGACGAATGGCCCTACTGGCCAACATCACCCCTTCTGCTCTCAGTTCGAAGAGCACTGGGGTTCTGGGCTCAGGCTGACCAGGGGCCAGGCCCGAACTCCACTGCTGCCGTTTGACTTCGACCCTGGCCCCAGTTTCTGGTTAGCTTCTCCCGTCTCATCAAATTCCTGGAAAGCCCGGTCGGCACGGCCTGGGCCAGGCAGGCTCTCGGTAAACATGCATGTCGGCATCGCCAGCAGACGCTCCTTCCTCCTGCGGGCACCCAGCTGCGAGCGCTAAGCCCTCCCGCTCTATCCAGGCGCTCCCAGTCTCCCTCCTCCTGCTGCCACGGGCGTGGCTGTGACCTGCCCTGTGCCAGGGCCCTGACCCTCCCGGAGCTCAGCTGCCCTGGTGGACCGCCCACGGGCAGGGGTCACTCACTCACCCCGGTGTTGAGCTTGACAGCTGCACGCTCTTCCTCGATAAGGGCCCCGATGCCGTCGGTGGGGTCCATCACCCCGCACAGGTTGCCATCCAGGGCCCAGTCGCTGGCCCGCCTCTCGTGCTGGTACTGCAGGGCCGGGAGCTGGACGGCTTGGATGTCCATGCTGCTGTCTACCAGCTTGCCGACCCTGCGCCAGCACACAGGCACTGGTCAGAGTCCAGCTCCGGGCTGGGGGCGCGCTGTTACCGGTGCACTGAGGGGAGGTGGCAGACGGTCCTCTCGGAGGTGTGAGGTGAGCAGCTCGTTCGGTCAGTCACTCACTGGCGCACCCACCCCTGAACCTCTCTGGAACCACCTCCGTGTGCAGGCAAGCAAGGCCTGGGGCCACCAGACAGGCCTGTCCTGGAGGACCCCTGCTCCCAGGGAGACTGCCCTTATAACCAGGGCTCTCAAGGGGGTGCAGAAAGTTGCAGGGCGCGAGTTAGGGGCGTTCACTGCCGCCGTGAGATGGGGGTGGGGAGAGCTCCAGGAGCATGGGGGGGCGCGCATAGAGGGAGGGCAGGGAGGCGGCAGGGCTGCATGGGGCTGGGCGAAGCCTGTGAGCCAGGTCAGCCCAGTGCTGTCGCGGGCTCCATACACCCCGGCCATGAACGCCGACGGCTCGGTCTCCCCAGACGCCAGGAGGCTTCTAGAAGCAGAGGCCCTGTCCTGTTGTGTCCCACCTCTCTGCGCGCCGTGTACACGTGGTGCCCCTTATCGCTGAGTGCACAGATGAACGGGGGAGAAATGAGCGGAAAGGGCCAGCAGGTGGCGTGGTGGTCAAAGGCGTTGGACTCCCACCTGGCCAACGGGGGTCTGAGTCCTAGACCTGGTGGCTCACTTTCTCACGTTCTCTCTCTTGTCAAATTAAAATAAATAAATAAATTAAATTAAATTAAATAATTCTTTAGGAAAAAAGAAATGATCGAACAGTTGAGCTGTTGATGCCCAAGGACCCTTCTGTTTTAGTGCTTCTGATAGTAGCCGTCTAAGTAAGAACGGATGCGTGCGTGAGTGGAGTGATCAAAGATTAAACACGGCTAGCACAGGACACGCCGTACATATGTGGAGTCTTCACAGATGGAGTGTCTTATTAGGAGCAAGGTTGTCTGGGAAGTCGCGATGCATCTTTATGCAAAATGTGTCCTGCTTTTCCCAAAGCCCTAATACATGGACCTCAAAGTTTTGGTCATAGGGTGGGTGCACTTGCTAGAGAGGACAAAGGCAGAGACACAGAGAGGGGAAGTGAGAAATACCCCCCAAGGGGATGGCCATGCCATAACCCCTTCTCTATTCTCCTCTTGGGGTTTTGGACACACATGCATGTGTGCCTAGTGTGATTTTTAAAAATTATTTGATTTTAATTTAATTCTATTATTATTTAATTTGACCAGAGAGAGGTGGAGAGAGAGAGGGAGAGAGAGAAAGCAAGCCGCCAGGACTGGGATCCAAACTGGTCGGTCATGTGTGGTCGAGCACCCCGACTATGCCGCTGCCTGCTGCTCAGTGTGACTTTTAAGCCATGGGGTCCAGGACTTGAACCATAGTTGGCCATGTGGGACTCCAGCACCGTAATCATTATGCCACCTGCTGGCGCTGTTCAATTCTACTTTTTGCAGACTTTTTTTTTTTTTTTTTCTTTTTGCAATAGGATGCACGTGCTTGCCAAAGAAAGAGACAGACAAGTAAGAGAGAAGCCCCGGGGGACGGATAGCCATGCCACAATCCCTTCTCCTCTTGGGGTTTTGGGGATGCACACACACCCAGTGTCTTCTTCAGACCCCTGAGCCTAGGACTTGAGTCATGGAGTTGGCCACGTGGGATCTAGCGTCCTGACCCCATGCCGACTGCTGGCCTATTTTCATGGGCTTTTTAAAGCCCCTTGTAGAACCGCGTGGGATAAAACATCCACACAAACACTTGCCCACAAATGTTTATAGCTGCATTATTCCCAATTGCCATGAACGTGGAAATGGCCCCCATGTCCCTCAACTGATATACGGAGAAGCAAATCGTGGTTTACCCACAAAACAGGGTATTATTCAGCCATAAGAAGGGATGAATTGATTTTTTAACTAAAAAATTTTTTTTTTCATTTGACCAAAAGAGGAGGAGAGGAGGGTGAAAGAGAGGAGAGAAGGCAGACCGCCAGGTCCGGGACTCAAACCTCAGTCGGCCATGTGGGAGTCCAGTGCCCTTAGCCACCATGCCACCTGCCATCCCTGAAGGGATGAATTTTGAAACACAATGTTTAGTGAAAGAAGGTCACAGATCATAAGAGCCACGGAAAGGATACTGAGATACTCAGGCAGGCCAGAGACAGGGCAGAGCTGGCAGAGGTGGGGAGGAAAGGGGAGGGACTGTCATGGGGGTGAGTTTTTTTTGGGGGGGGGATGAAAATGTCCTATAACTGTGGTACTAAGTGCAAGACCATGTGAACGTACTTAACCCTGAACTGTAGGTACTAAGGGTAATCTGTTTATGTCGAAAGAACTCTGTCTCAATAGAACTGCTGTTTGAAAACAGACACACAGGGACCAGCAGATGGCGTAATGTTTCCGTCGTTGGACTACCATGTAGTCAATTGTGGTTCGTGTCCCAGATGTGGTGGCTGAAAACTCACACCGGGCGCATGTGTGTGCATGCCCAAAAGCCTGAGAGAATGGAAGAGGAAGGACTGCGGTGTAGCCATCCCCACTGGGGGGTGATTTCTTGCTTTCTGTCTCTCCAGCGAGTGTATATGCTCTATAGCAAAATTCCCTCTTAAAAACAAAACAAAACAAAACAAACCCAGACACACAAACATAAGCCCCTGTGCCACCCCCTGCTGGCAATGCAGTGTGACTGGGGCCGTGAGCACGCCCTCCAATCCCACCCAGACACACACTGCTGGCCACATGCCCAGCGTCTGACCGTCCATGTCTTTCTCCCAAAGACGCCGGTGGTCTTTGGCCCAGGTCCAGGCCCTGCTAACCCCTTGCCCAAGCCTCCTCTCCTATGCTGGATTCTTCCAGTCCTGCTTATCGTCCAAGCATTTCTGCTGCCTCCATGCTCTCTGAGGGTCTGAGCCCCACCCAAGTTGCTTGTAGGCATCGCTGTCTCTGACACTACCAGGGGCCTTGGGCAGGCCTCTGACCATTTCCTCCTGAGACCAAGTGCTTAGAGAGGCCACGGGCAGGCATGGAGCCCGAAGTGGAGGTTCAAGGCCAGAGCTGCAGCAGGGTGGTGCTGCCTGCAAGTGCGATAACGGGGGTAGAGTGGATCGGAGGCAGAGGCCAGCACAAACGAGACGTCTTGTGGCTACCGGGACCCTGCAAGACCCCTGGAAACTGCTCTGCTTGGCCCCGTGCTGGCCATGGTCAGAGGGGGCCCCGCAACTGCCCTGGTTCGGCGGGTCTCCGTCTCCGGGCACTACATGCTGAGTCTCCTCCCCATACTGGCCTTCCCGCTGGTCCCTGTGGCCCTCTGGCCAGACTGCCCGAATCCGCACCCCATGGCCCTGCGTGTAGTCGCTCCTCCAGGCTGTGGGTGCTCGAGGGGAGAGACCTGCCCTGATATTTTGTTCTGGTTTTAGTACTGGGCCTGCCAAGCAAGCATGGCAGGACCATCCGATGGGTACACTGCCCGTCCGGAGGCTGCCCGCAGTTCTGAGAGTCTCAGTGCTACCTGCCTCACTTCGGTGGGCTATCTAAGCCCCCACCTGCTGGCACCGTCTGCTGGATGGCGATCCTGGGAAGGGCTCCAGACTCGGGGGCTGTGCCTTCCCATGTGCAGTGCTGAGGACGCTCCCCACCAGAGGCTCACTCGGGCCTGCTCCCACCCTGGCTGGCCCTCCACCCTCAGCGGGGCGTCTGCAGCACACCGAGGCAATGGCTGCAGCGCGCGAGACTCCGCCCAGTGCCGGGCCGGGCCGGCGGACGCCATGGGTACTGACCGGAGGAAGACCTCCTCCATGGTGGTCACGGAGGCCCCGAAGCTGGCGATGCCCAGCTCCTCCTGGTGCTTCTCCAGCTTGGCAAAGAGACTTTCAAACCTGAAAGAAGACTCAGAGCCGTCAGTCGCTTCTCGGTGACTTTCACCAACACTGTTCCTAGTCAGCTGCCTGGAGCGGAGGGACAACAGCGAGCTCCTGGAGTGTGGCATCGAAGCGCACTGAGGACAGCTTACGGCCCTGTGCTGCAGCCCAGAGTGTTTAGTTTAAGACTTAATTCTTTCTTTAGAGCAATTTCAGGTTCACAGTAAGACAGGAAAGAGCCCTCCCTGTCCCCCCTCGCTCAGCCCTGGGAGCCCTCCCTGTCCCCCGTCAGCCCTGGGAGCGGCACTCTGCCCATTGGGCCCTCTTTCCTGGCAAAGACCTAGGCAAAGGCAGGAAACAAACCCCAAGGAGCTGGCCGTAGTCATGGCGTAGGCAGATGCTTTCTCAGAGTAAAAGTACTGGAAGACATCACGACACGCCCTCTGAAATCTAGCCTGTGGTTGCTGGGGAAGGCAGCTGGGCCCGCGGCCGGCCGTGCAGTCTGAGCCCAAACCCAGTGGCTTCAGAAACATGCCTGGCGTGTGTGCACGTGTGCCCCAACCTCAACGCGGTGATGGATAAGGGACTGCGGTGTGACTCCCGCACCGCGGGATGCTTTCTTTCTTCCTCCATCTCTCTTGTTCTCTGTCTCTCTATGGCAAGCACACACAACTTCTGGAAAAAAAGGTTTTTTGAGAGATTTTTCTATAGGGCACATGCACTCACTTAGAGACATGGAGAGAAACAGAAAGTGGGAAATTGCGCCCCAAAGGGAGTGGCCTTGCCGCAATCCCTTCTCCTCCATTCTCCTCTCAGGATTCTGGGCACACACGCACACGTGCCTGGCTTGAATTTCAAGTCGCTGGGTCTGGGACTCAAACTGTGGTCAATTACAGGGAGTCCAGAACCTCAACCACGATGCCCCCTGCTGGTCCCTCTTCTGGCAAATTAAAAAAAAAATCTGTATGGATAAAAAGATCCTACAAAATCAAATAAACAACAAAGTGAAGAAGTTTGTAAAAAAAAAAAAAAAGTTTATATTAACATGTAAAAGCGACTGATAAGTGACCAAAAGGAATGAGTGGCCCAGAGGCACCCGACATTGAAAGCCCACGGGCGTTGAAAACATCGGGCAGGGAAAATATAAAATGCCCTATGCGGGTCGGTGCATCTCACCCATTAAATACACAGATACTGAAAAAGAAAAACAAACTGTACTCGAAGCTGCAGCCAGGGGCCAGCTGACGGCGTGGTGGGTAATGCAGTTGGATCTTACATGGCTGACTCCATGGTTTGAGTCCTAGACCTGGCAGCTTGAGGAAAATGCCAGGTGTGTGTGCATTTGTGCCCCAAATCCCGAAAACGGGGAGAGATGGAGGAGAAGGAGGTGCATGGGGCCGTTTCCTGAAGGGGGTGCCTTCTCGCTCCCACTGTCTCTCTCTGTGAGTGCATGCACCCTCTGACAAAAAAAAAAGAAAAAAGAAAAGAAAAAGAAACTATGGAATTAAGTGGACACGCTCCTATCCTGCGGAGAGGGGAGGGCAGTGCACCTCCGCTCTAGAGATCTGGCAACAGCTACCCCAGTACTGGGGGCCTAGCGAGAGAGGGTCTCTGGAGGGCTGGAGTTTTCTGGAAGGGTGTTTACTGACACGTCGGGGGCAACGCCCCTGCACAATGGAGCAGACGGGAAAGCTCGGCGTGCTCAGCCCCTGGAGCGCCTCGCGGCTGTGGCCGTTACCGAGCCGACCTCGGGCAAGCGCAAACCGACCTTTCTTTCTTTTCAGATTTTTGTCATGGGGCTTCTGCACTTGCAGAGATAGACTGAGGGAGGGAAGGGAGAAATCATCCCCAGGGGATGCAACCCCTCCTCTCCCACTCCTGTCGGGATTTTGGGTGCACGGGCCGGCATGTTTCTTAAGTCCCCGGGTTGGGGCATGTGCTGAGGTTTCTGAACAAGAGTCAAGTTTGGCTTCTCCTTCCCCACGCAGGGACTCTGCCCTTCGGATAGGACAGTGATGAGGAGACTCAGTTTCTGAGAACAGACGAGGAGAACATCTCAGCTGGCATTCCAGTACGGATTCGGCTCACAGGTGCTTCTGTGGCTGCCCAGAGGCTCACCCCGGAGATAGGAGGCCGCTCCCAGCCCACCCCCGGAAGCCAGGACGTGAGCTTCTCTTCTCAGGCCCAGGCGGCGGGCACACCGGGCCCAGGGGCTGACCGGGGCGGGCCAGGGCATGGCGCCCTCATGGCCACCTGGGTCCCCTCGTACCCGGGCCTGGAACTGCGTGCTGTCTCCAAGGTGTGTACCTGTGTGTGCTCTCCTTGGGAAGAACGAAGGACAGCTCAGCCCCGGCGCTGCTCTGCAGCGTGGCATTGGGGACGTGGTGGCGGACCAGCTGGGAGACACCTTCGAGGTTGCAGTGTGGCTCCTTCACCAGCGTCATGTGGTAGCCTGCACCTGTGACATGCAGGCAGGGCTCTGTGAGGCCCTTCACTGTTGCCGGCTCCTCCTGCCCAAGGGGTCTCAGGAACACCCGGCAGGTTCGAGGACAGGCTGGACAGCCTGGGGTTATGACCCAGGCTGAGTGCGCTGGGGGCTCCCTCGTGCTATCCCCAGGCCTTGCCTCCCGCAGCCTGGCTGGGAGAGGTGCAGGGGATTGGTGCTGAGCTCAGCAGTGCCGGCTTGGACCCAGAGCCTTCCATCAGCCGCAGCAGCCACGTGCCTGAGGGTTAAGGCTGACGGTCATTATGCTGTGAGCGGGAAGACAGGGTGAGTGGCAGGCACAGAGTGGGCCCTGGCCACGGCCACGGCAGTGCATGCATGTGTGCCTCCTTCCCAGAGTTGCCTTGCAGAAACCTGGGCATCACCACGTCACTCTAGAGGCAGGACTCTGGGCCAGGGAAGGGCACAGGCTTGGGTAACTGGGTAGCTGGGCAGGAAGTGGCAGGTGAGACTCTCAGGGCTGCAGCAGAGACGGGTCTCGTCTCCGCGATCAGTCCTCTTGCCTGTTTTGGGAGAGCACCCCTGGCTCTTCGCTGAGCCACGGAGAACCAGGGCTGCTCCAGCCTGCTCTGACCACATCAGCCCGGCATCTGGCCAATGGCTGGCTGTGGGGACAGCTGTGGCAGTGGGTGTGGACTCTGGGGATACTGCAGGGCTGGGCGCGCCAGTGTCTGCTCATCTGCTGGGACTGTGGGAGAGGGCATCCGGCACCAGGTGGGCCAGGTGGCGACATCAAAGGGAATCTGCCTGCCCAGCGCGGGAAGGGCCGGAGGTGCGGGCGAGCCGGGGGCAGAGGGCGAGCCACTCTTGCTTGGGAATCGCGCCATCGATAACAAGCTCGGTCTTCTCAAAGACAGAGACTGCAGGAACCAGCAGTTAGCGTAATGGCTATGTCGCTGGACTCCCACGTAGTTGACCGTGGTTCGTGTCCCGGACCCGGTGGCTTAAACTCACACTGGGCACGTGTGCATGCGTGCCCAAGATCCCGAGAGGAGAATGGAGAAGGGATTGCGGCGTGGCTATCCCCTCTGGGGGTGATTTCTCACTTTCTGTCTCTATGTCTCTCTCTGTCTGCCTGGCGAGCGCACGCGCCCTATAGTGAAAACCTCTCCAAAAAGAAAAAAGAAAAAAAGAAAGACAAGACAGAGACTGCTCCTGTGGCTCCGGCGTTTGCCCTTTTGGCCAGGGCTGAACTGAATCCTAACCAAACAGGCTGTCTGCTCCACTCCCCTCCCTCTTCATGCCCACAAGTGCCTGCATCGCTGGCCAGAGGCAGGGGAACGGGAAGTCTGAGAAGGCCCTCGGTGAAGTCAGTAGCGGGCAGCTCCCTCAGCACGGCGGGCAGGCGCTGGTCCCCACGGTGGAGGCGGGCCGGCGGG